ACCTCTCCAAGTCCTCACGATCAGGCCCAGGATGTAATCCAGCTTCCTCCTGCCCTGGCCCAGCACTCCAATGCGGATAAGTCACCACAGCAGGTTCTTCTTGCGCAGTGCCAGCAGCTCTCAGACGGCCCTGCGGATCTTGGCCAGGGTAAATTTGACCCTCCCAATTCATTCCGGAGCCCGTACTTGCCAATCAGCTTCAGCTCTTGGTCAAGGAAGGACTTTTCAAAGGGTGTCACATAGGCTTTGTGATAAACCCAGCTCTGGGCCACTGGCTATTGGCACTGCTTGTGCCATGTGCCTAAATGCCAGCCCTAGTAGCTAAGAAAGAGCTGAACTTTTCCTAACTGCAAGCCTATGTTCTTCCCCTGGAGCTTCCCTTGCTCTGTCTAGAGCCACACTCCAGGCATTTCTGCTACATTTATTTTCTACGCTTCTGGGAAAAGCAGCCATATTTTTCCTCTCATTCATTCTCTTCTGGTTAACTATGCCAATTAATCATTAAGCATTTACTGCTGTGTGACCTGGGGCATTAACATTGCTGTGACTCAACTTCCTCATCCACGTAGTAAGATTGGTGTTAGAACCACATACGATATATACACACAATCACCTGCCCTCACTCTCACCCGCTCCTATGGAACTACGTACTATATATACACACAATCACCTGCCCTCACTCTCACCCGCTCCTATGAGGCAGGTTTGTGAGCCTCATTTTCAGTGGGGTTGAAAATGAGAACAAGGAGGCACTGGGACTGCAGGAACGGTCCCCCAGGTCACACAGGTGCAAGAGCAGCAGTGAAACCCAGAAGCCCAGCGGCAGGGTTTGTGCTCTTGGCCAACACTCTTTACAAAGCAGTGATAAAAATTACATCCATTTATAAAATGTTACCTAAGCTCTTAAGTGATGTGAAACAAACACAGAAATTGGTAAGTAAATGAAGAATGTTAAATATTATGTTGTTTATTCTGTCTAAAGAAGAATGGGCTATTAAAATAATTGTGCTGTTTAAGGAAAAAGAAACATTTAAAATAATGTTTCTAATTTAAGGTTTTAATTAAGAACAAATAGTTATGGCAAATTTTCAGAATGTCATTTCCAGTGGCAGAAGTGTCTCTAGTTGTGATAAGGAGAATATGATGGATGAGTTAACACTGCAACCACTGTGTTTAAAGAAAAGGCTTAGCTCAAAAATTCACGTGTACTGTAGATAGTAAACCAAATTCATATTCTGAAGCATGTAATATTTGACCTTAAAATCCAAGTAAATATATAAAAATGTGTAGAGAAGAAGAAAGCAAACATTGTGTCATACAATTACAAGGAAAATTTTGAATTTTGAAAACAAGGTTTTTAACTGATTTTACACAGGCCAATGTTGTGGTATGATCAGAACCTTGGACAGCACCAAGGCTTTTCCCCAAAGGGGAAAATGCCGCGACCCTTTAATACAGTTCCTGTGGGTAGCGACGTTAGGGAGGCTGAGAACCGCTGGCCTGGTGTGTTAGATCCTAACATAAGGTACTTCCTCAACGTCTCTGCATTTTAAAATTCTGCTAAATTCTATTGCTTCACACATAAAACTGATTCCTCTACATCAGCAGTTCTCAACCTGTGGGTCGAATGACCCTTTCACCAGAGTCACCTAAATACATCCTGCATATCAGATATTTGTATTATGATTCATAACAGTAGCAAAATTAGTTATGAAGTAGAACAAAAATAATTATGGTTGGGGATCACCACAACATGAGGAACTGTATTAAAGGGTCGCAGCATTAGGAAGGTTGAGAAACTGCTTTATATATTTAATTTACTAATAATAATGTATGTATTTTTTTAAAGCTTTCCTCTTGCCAAGACTAGCATTTTTGTTCTAGTATCTTTTTTATTCATCCAAAGATAGAAATTAAAGGATAAAAAGCCATTTAAATAACACTTAAATGCCAGGTATTGTTATTAAATATATGAATGACTTCAAAAAAGAATGGACATAAGATACATACATATAAAACATTAATTTTTGATTTTAAACTTAGTAACTGGCTAGGCACAGTGGCTCATGCCTGTAATCCTAGCTCTGTAACTCCTCCTCTGGGAGGTTAAGGTGGGTGGATTGCTTGAGCTCAGGAGTTCGAGACCAGCCTGAGTGAGACCCTGTCTCTACTAAAAATAGAAAAACCAGCCCGGCATTGTAGCAGGTGCCTATAGTCCCAGTTACCTGGGAGCCTAAGGCAAGAGGATTGCTTGAGCCCAAGAGTTTGAGGTTGCTGTGAGCTCTGATGCCATAGCACTCTACCAGGGGTGACAGAATGAGACTGTGTAAAAAATAAATAAAAAATCGACTTGGCGCCTGTAGCTTAAGCGGCTAAGGTGCCAGCCACATACCCCAGAGCTGGTGGGTTCAAATCTGGTCCCGGCCTGCCAAACAAAGATGACTACACCAAAAAACAGCCGGGTGTTGTGGTGGGTGCCTGTAATCCCAGCTACTTGGGAGGCTGAGGCAAGAGAATTGTTTCAGCCCAAGAGCTGGAGGTTGCTGTGAGCTGTGACACCACAGCACTCTATCAGGGTGACAGCTTGAGACTCTGTCTCAAAATAAATAAATAAACTAATTGGCAACCCAATCACCTCAGTCATTGTCTATATCTCATCTACATCTCAAAAGGACATGTATTAGTGGTCTGAAAGCCCTATGGTAGGTTTGGAAGTTACAGAACAAAAAGATACATCTTAATGTTAGCTTCTAAAATCAAAAGCACCACCACGAGCTGTACTAATGTGGACAGATGTGACAGCGCACCACAGGTGTCCCCTGGTATCTTGCAGGGGATTGTTCTGAGGACCCCTTGAAGACACCAAAATCCACAGATGTTCAAGCTCTTTATCTGCATAAGATAGTGTAGTGTTTGTATGTAACCTTGTGTGTCCTCTTGTCCAATTTAAATCATCTCTAGGTTACTTATAATACTTATAATACCTAATACAATATAAATGCTATGCAAATCGTTGTTAAACAGTATTTTTAAATTTGTATTTTATTGTTGTATTATCATTTTTTTTTTTTTTTTTTGCAGTTTTTGGCAAGGGCTGGGTTTGAACCCGCCACCTCCAGCATATAGGGCCAGCATCCTACTCCTTTGAGCCACAGGCACTGCCCTGTATTGCTGTTTTTTATTGTTTTTTATTTTCCCAAATATTTTTGATCCTGGGTTGGCTCAATCCGTGGATGTGAAAACTATGGAAAGGGAGTTGAGTGTATTACAATTGTGGAAATAAATGTTTTTGAGATCTTCACATTCATTGTTAAGGTATTAAAAACAATCACTCTGCAAATATCCGGACTCAAAAGCAAGCAGAGGACCTTTCCCTCCATTTGCTGAAATGAAGTGGGCTGAAGCGTCGTCAGCTGGCTCTTGAAAGCAGCAATATGGTCGTAGAACTCGCTGTGACCATTCTGTCCCTTTACAAGTTTTGTAAGCCAGCCTGCTTTTTTCTTCCTTCTAAATGACTGACTGAGGTGGTGATTAATCAGCTACAGCATGTAAAACAAGGTTCTCAGGAGCTGTGAGCCCACTGGTAGAGGACAGGAAAGCTGTTGTGCTCAAGAATTAATCTATCCGAGGGAATCAAAAGCAGCCACAATGCAGTCCTCAGCATGTTTTCACTGTGCAGGCCCCACACTTCCTATTTAGAAAACACATAACCATTACCCCGTTCTGTCTTCTCACAAGGCTCCCTTTTACTGATTTGTGTTTGTTATTATACGGCTCATACCAGCATGTTTGTGTGATTCCACTGATGTGCATACGTCTATTGAGAAAGGAAAAAAAGAAGTGTCTATTGCAAACTTTTTAAAAGGGAAAAGGGACTCCCACTGTTTTTTCCTTTGGCTAGGCTTCCATTTAGAGAACAGAGCTTTAACTCTTTATTCACCAGAAGAGAATGACTCCTTTGTGTATTTAAAATTTTGCAATAGCTTCTTTACTGATAGAATGTAATAAATGAAAGAAAAACGTTATTCACAGACTGCCACAACCTTAGACGCTGATGAGTCTTCAGAGTTATGCACAGCATATTAGATAGCTCATGGGGAAACTTGTAAGTCCTTCTCAACACAGTTATTTTTACAAAGCAACTTAAGTATGGTACAGAAACTTACCAATATTTTACTTTGCAGCAGTCAGTATTGTTATTAAACTCTCGGTTAAGTCTTTAGTGTTTTTAGTTTCAGAGGCTCAATGGGACTTGTGCAAAGTCTGTAGATATATTAATTTTGCAACATGGTTGTTTGAGAAGATATGTTTTACACATCTGTGACATGACCTCCCACTTGAGTTTTTGTTGGTTGTGTTAATGATTTGGGTGGTTATAAAGGGCTTGCTTAATCCAATCCTATTCTGATACATGCAGACAGACAGGTAAATAGATAGATGTCAAATAAACTCCTATTCCTCAAAACTGCTTCTGACATTCCAGTGAAGCCACAGAGCCATGTGGAGCCTTCATGAGCCCAGCGCTTAAGACACGAACGTATCTTCAGTGCTGCACATGGAGCAGGAGGTGGAGCGTTCCTCCTCCGGTCCAGTGCAGAGGTGTGAAGGGGGGTGTGGTGTGGCACTTGCCCCTACACAGACTGGATCTGAGAAGTCTGCTTCTCGGAGGATTTGGAACAAGAAGAGTTAAACACCCACTGCACATGTTTGCTCACCAATCTCACTCTCTGCCACGTTCCAAAGGGACAGAGCCCAGTGACAACACAGCCCAGTACCTAAAGTGAAGAGGGAGGGTTCTCGAATTAATTAACTGGAAATGAGTCTTGTCAATGTTTTGGAAAGGCAGAAGGGATGAAAAGAGATTGCTAGAATTAATCACAGTGAGAAACTACTCCAACTGCCTGCCAGAGTTCAGAAAACCCTGTGAGAAAACGAAAATAAATGCAATGACGCTGACTTGCCATCTGAGGGGACCAACAGAAGCCAAGCAAACATCCAAGTCCTTGCCAAATGAGGGATGTGCCCTCAAAGAGAAGGTTTTATTATTTGCTGTCACAGTGAGTACAATCTATTACTTAAATGCACATTCTACACAGAGGAGCAAAGGCAAACCAGACAGTTACACTGAAAGCAAAGAAACAAGAGCAAACTCAGCACTGTCACTTTTAGCTTATACCCACTTAACTCTAGCGCCTAAGAGAGTCATATTTTCCTGATTTGTACCTACAAATCCTCAAATACTTGTCATTTCACATCCTGCAGAAGACAAAACTCCACGGAACAGGTTCCAAATATTCAGACATGTGGATGCACTTCACTCACTAAGAAGAAAAAAGAAACAAAATCACAGATTTAAGAAGGGAATTAACAAGAATTATCAGACAAGGTGCAGGGCAGAGCTCTGGTCAATGACCGAATCACATGGAGAAAGCAGAGAGAACTCATTCATTATCATTCAAGGAATTTCAGTGCTTCTAACTGGAGTTAACATTAGCTGTCTCCTAAAGAAAATCCAATTCCTGGGAGTAACTTACTTTTAGACCATGAAAAAATTGATATGTTTTTTGTATTTCTCCCCCAGAATGAGTATGAAATTTTATTTTTAAAAAATGGCAGCATAAAGGCTGAACCAAAAAATTGTTTGCAACTATATTCAGAGCTTTCTTTGATAAAGCATTTGAGGGTGAAACTCTCCTGTCCATGTTCTTATAAACCTCATCACGTCCCAGGTAAGGAGCAGGTAGCAAAAACCTTCCACAGGCGGAATGGCAGCACTGGGGATACTCACCGGTGGGGGCATGTCCCTCGTAGATCTTAGAATCAGCTTTTCACCCCGCTTTTCAACTTCAAAACCAATTTTTTTAAGCAGGGACGTGTCTGCCAGCCCCTGGTCTTCCATCTTTGCAATCAAATCTTGGTTTTGGCTATTGTCTTCCGTGAGGTTTCGGATGGCGTACACCACCCACTGGGTCAGAACTGGAGCCAGAGTTAAGGAACCTGCTGTCTAGCTTTCCTGTTAGAGATTCACGGGAGTGACCCCCAAACCCCAGGAAGAGGGGCACAGAAACACCGAAAGGCCAGAATTAATCAAGTTTCTCGTAAGGGTATGTCTATGCTTAAGCATTCAAAGTGCAAACAAACTAAAAAGCTCTAACGCAAGCACATGCTCAGGGTTGCGCCCAAAGGGGCTTACTCAGTGTGAACACAAACATGCACACACACTCTCACACACTCCTTTGTTGGATGACTATGACTGAGTCACCAGGAACACTACAGAATCACACACAGGGATCAGGCCAGGGTGGGGCAGGACAGTCATCCTGGTTGAGGAGAGCCCAGGTATAACCAGCAATTGTTTCCTAGGAGTCACTATGGAATTCCCCCCCCCTTTTTTTTTGGGCTGGGGCTGAATTTGAACCCACCACCTCCAGCATATGGGGCTGGTGCCCTACCCCTTTGAGCCATAGGCACTGCCCAAATTTTTCCCCCTTTCATGAGTTTAAAGATGAAGCCTGAAGGTCTTTGAAGAACTTGCCAAGCTCATTCCGGCATCGGCCCTCCCTACCTCAGTGCGAGGATCCCACTTAGCACACTCTGCGCTGTGTCCCACAATCAGATGGGGAACACTTGTGAACAGTGGACGGCAGGGCATCAGCATTGACCAAGGTGTGTGATTTGATTACCAAGAGCTGTGTAAACCTAACAAAGCACCAAGTTGCTGCTACATGTAGTTCTACGAAGAAGTGTACAAAAACTGCAGTAGGGACATGTAAGAGACTGCCAGGAACAGGCCTTGGCCCTGTGGGGCCTGGCACCCTGGTGCAGAAGGAAGAACAAAGCAGCTAGGGTGGAGGAAATACTTTTTCCAAATAAAGAGGCCTCCTTGCCCATGAGGAGATGGAAATGTCAAGAAAAACAAGGAAAAACCAGGATGATCAGCAGGTGCGCCCCATTTGGGCGTGTCTCAAAAAAAAAAAAAAGAGGGAAAGAAAGAAGAAAAAAGTAAAAAAAATGAACTTGTCTACCAAAGTCAGATAATGGAAATGTAGCAGCATAGGCACTGGTGCAGAGGTGTTTCTACAGGTTTTAGAAGGATGCTCTAGGCTCAGCGCCTGTGACTCAAGTGGCTAAGGCACCAGCCACGTATACCTAAGGTGATGGGTTTGAATCCAGCCCGGGCCTGCCAAATAACAATGATGGCTGCAACAACAACAACAACAACAAAAAAATAGCCAGGCATTGTGGCAGGCGCCTGTGGTTCTGCTGCTTGGGAGGCTGAGGCAGGAGACTCGCTTGAGCCCAGGAGTTGGAGGTTGCTGTGAGCTGTGATGCCACTGCACTCTACCCAGAGGGACAGCTTGAGGCTCTGTCTCAAAAAAAAAAAAAAAAAAAGGTTGCTCCAGCCTAGTCCCTCCAATGTACCACTGAGCTGTTGGCAGTACCAACAAGCCCTTCCTGACCCCTGGGTGGGTGCACTATGTCCCTGAGTGCAGCATTAAGCCCCTGGTCTGCTCTTCCATGTCAGGGACTATGGGTCACATATCTCTGGGGCTCTGGAGCCCAGACAGAGAGCCTGGCAGGAAGATAGGCACCAACAAGCATCTGCTGAGTGGGCGACCTGCTGGCCCCAGGAGGCACTGTTGAAACTGCTTGTGGGTGTAAGCGACAGGCCTTTTCCAGATGGCACAGAATGAGGCTGCCAGTGCCCAGCTGAGGTCGATTCTGTAACTAGTCATCTCATCCATTTCTGGTGGGGAAAATGCTCTCATTTTGCCACTGATCTGTCATCCTTTTATGACACAGTCACGGTCCTTCATAAAGGCTATAATTTCTTTTCTGGAGCCAGAATCTGTACAAATACTAAAATGTGTAAAGCCTAAATTTGAGTTTCCCCTCCTTTCTACAATCACCAAGCCCTCACTCTGTGCCAGTGCAGGAAGTAAAAATAACCATCCCAGGTATCAAACACTTCCAACATGTCAGTGTATTTTCCAGCAATAAACTATCTGCTCAATGACTTTCACACCCAGGATAACACCCAAGTGTGTGGACGCAGCCACACTGTCTGATGCTGGCCAGACAAGGTGCCAAGTGTGGAGCCAAGATGTGCTGCAGCGACCCCCACAGGCTGAGCTCCCTCCTGCTCTCCATGTGGTTTCCTGACTTAGGCTCTGCATAGTTTGAGAGATTAGATGAAAGTAACCCAATCTAAATGCAAACCAGGCAAGGAGGCTGGCCTGGGGAAATAAAAGGTCCATAACAACAGAACACAGAGGATTCCCATGCAGATGGAATGAAAGAGTGAATTGTAGCCATGTTCGTGTTGGCGGGAGGAGAAACTTTTCTATAACATTTTGTGAAAATATTGTTATCATGGCATTTTAGTAGCAAACTCACCCTTAAAATGTTCGGTTGCTCATTTCTATACAAGGAAAACTCACAAGATACCCACTCCACATCTAAGGGGAAAGGGACACAGAAAGCCCCGACCGACGGAGCGAGGCTGACGGAGAGCCCTCCTGGAGGTGAGGGCGCTGCGCAGGCCCAGGCTGGTCCTGCCACATGTGCCCCCCCAAACATCACGAGATGTGATGGTCAAGACAGCACGGGGAGCAGACTCTTGGCACAACCACTGACCCACAGCCTGACAGAAGCAGCACCCAAGCTCAGAGCAGGAAAAGGCACCTCTGTCTTCTTCCAGAACTGGTATTCAGAGTGTAGAAAGATTTGTAAGGTGGGGTGGGGTGGGCGTGGCCACAATGCCACTTAGGAATCAGCTCTTTGTCAGTACCTTGAGAATCAGAATTAACAAATCAACAATAGAAAACCCCAACACTTGCCACTCAAATTTGTTATTTACCACTCTTACATGTTTTTTAGTGAAATTCACCCTCCTCTGGTGAAGGAGGGCTTCATGGAGTCAGAGACCCTGTTGATGCCACGCACTCTTCAGGATGGAGGGGAGGCGTCTGCTCCACTCCCTGGATCCCCGCATCTAGGGCACTGGTTCTCAACATTCCTAAAGCCGTGACCCTTTAATACAGTTCCTGTCAGTTACCACCCACAGGTTGAGAACCGCTGATCTAGGGGCTCATGTTGTCTGCAAATCTGCAAATCAAATACCACACAGCCTCCTTTAATCTGTGCCTATTTCCACTGAGAACATTTCAGCACCACTATCCAAGGTTTCAGGCTTCAGAAAAATTAAGGAATCCATTTTTATAGTTGATGCTTTCACAAAATTTGAGTAGCAAAGAGAAACACTGTAAAGTCTAGCCCTAAGAACTGTGTTTACCGCACGCCTGGGCCATGAATATGCATGGTGCTCCTTGTCAGTGCACAGACCACGTAGACCTAGACAGTCTGAAGTGTGGGAGTGAGATTAAAGCAAGGCTCGGTTAATATTCACTTTGCCCTCTTGTTCCCTCTCTAAAGAGAAAGAGAGAAAGAAAGAGTGGGGGAGAAAATTAAACATCTTCTACAGTCTCTAATCCCACCAACATCTGAAGTGCTTCATTGTCTGCTTACTTTGGAAAGAGCTTCTCGGTTGCCATGGCTACCACACAGAGGCTGGAGCCTGTTTGTTGCAAAACTGCTTTGAAGGAACCGGCCACAAACGCGAGTATGCAAGCTCCACAGGCTGGCCAGCTCTCAGCAGGGCATCCTGGGGTCCTGACCGGGCCACCAGGACCAGAGTGGCAACGAAGCACCTTCAATTGAGGAGTCGCTGCAGCTGCCACACACCAGGCTCAGCCTCACAGCACAGGGACCAGGGCTGCCCCACATGGCCTTGACCACTGTGGTGGCAAGATGTTAGCAGAGGAGGAAAATGCAGGCCGGGGAATGATATGATACAGAAAAAAAACCCGTAACAAGGACATTACTGACCCACAGATTTACATGCCAAACTCAGACGAGCTCAAACACTGAAACTGGAATTGTCTGGTGAGAAAGTGTCCATCTCATCGAAGGCAGTGTCCTCGCAGTCACTCGAATCCATGGTGCATAAAGCCCTGGAGGATGCCGAGACACAGGCCTGCAACCACAGGACTTTCTTCTGCTTACTACTTAGTGTCTGAAGACTAGAGGAATGGCCTGTGTTTCTGAAGGACACTAAACTAAAAATAGTTTTAATATATTTAAATGGTTGGGGAAAAAAATCAAAAGACCAACACTTAATTGTAACATAGGAAGATTATTTTAAATTCAAATTTCAGTATCCATAAATAAAGTTCTAGTGAGGCACGGCCCCTACTACTTCTCACCAGAGTCTGGGTGACTGTCTTGAGACCTGGCAGGGCTGTGCAGGTGTCCCGAGACAATGTGGCCCACAGTGCAAAAATATTCACAAAAATATTCACTGTGGGGCCCTTTACAGAAAGGGCTCGCCAGCCTCTGGCCTAGAACATAGAAGGCGCCAATAAATATTTGTTGGGTGAATATAGAAATAAACCTTTAAAAAAGTACTAGTATTAAATAAAGTGGACTCTTTAAATTAAAACAATTATACTATAAGGTTTGAACTGACTTTTCAGAGGACGTATGAACTTTACACATAATAGCTATATGCAATTTTTGCTTCAAGGACATATGTTTAAAAATTATTTTTAGACAACAAAGCTGTGAAAGCAATAGATCTGTGCACTGCTTGGAGGGCAGGGAGTGGAAACCTCAAGGAACTGCCTCTGAGGCCAGGATACTCTACGTGGGCCACCCTGCTCCATGAGGCTTCTATGAAACCATGCCATCATGTGACATGTTACAGAAAGATCTTCCCAAAGATGAAGATGCTTAATAAATATCTGGCCATATCTAAATAAACTGTCTTCTCAGACATGGTAAAACTGCAGAATGCATTAGACTACAATAGTTCAGTTTAATAGTTCAGTTTTAAAATTGCTGTAAATGCTTTACATTGCTAACATGCTAAAGATCTGAGGATGCCAATTTAATTTGTCAGCCTAGGAAGAAAAACA